TTATAGACCAACACTTAAAGGTAATATCTTAATTGCGAAGACCATCATAAAATAAAATGTGAATCCACTTTATCAACACGACACATTTTATCTCAAAATCTGGGCTTCAATATAAAGATGTGTGGAAAGGGAATACTTACGCATATTGAATGAAGTTCCGAGTCGGATTTCTCTCCTGGGGTCTAGTGGACCACCCGGGCTCCAGTAGATGTGTGGACACACATGAGAGAATTCATACTCAATATCCTCTTGCTCTGGATAGTACAAAAGACACACAAGTAACAAACACATACTAACGTAATTTTACACAATACTTCTGTTCCGTCCTTCAACGACAATAGGGACTTACGGGGCGCCGTTGTAGTATGTATCGACGAAATGTGACACCATTAATTCAAATTATCTGTGAATAATAAATATCTTATTCAATTATTACTGGGATCACTGAATGTCCAGAACTATTAACAGCAGTATTTCGAATTACTGATACCACTAATTAAAATTAAAGAAATCGCTCAGTGTCAAGACAGATATCATTAATTCAAATAATCGTCATCAGTAATAAGGAGTGTTCAATGATATCAATAATTTGAATTAGCGATATAAAGACTAAATCATTTAATTATTTATTGATTTGAATAAATGATATCACTAAACGAATAAGTGATATCAATGATTCGGTTTAATGATATCAATAAATAATTGATATTAAATTTTGAGGATAAATACTAAAATGGCGCCATATAATGACTAAATTGATGTACTTAACATATGTGAAAGGACAAACAAAATAGACACATCTGTCAATCATTGCATGTAAAATCTCCACTCGGAGGAGGAAAGGGAAGTTCGTTTGTCAATACCGTTAGAATCACTAGCATACCTTCGGTATTCTAAAAGTTCTCAGAAGATACGGAACATTTTCTTCGTGCTGGTAGTATGAATCGAATAGATGTTCTATCATAATCAGGTAAAAATATGTGCTGTTTCGGTGACATACGCTGTCACCGTCAAACTAAACATTAAACGATACAATGATTAAGTCACATGAGTTCATGTGTATCATAATCTTACACACACTAAAGTAGAAAGTAGGGATGGTGTACTTAATATCATACTACGGACGAAAAGTCTTGTAGGATAAATAGTGTGACGATATAGTGATGGTGTACCTGGCATCATACTACAGCCGAAAAGTCTTGTAGGGTAAATGGTGTGACGATATAGTGATGGTGTACCTGACATCATACTACAGCCGAAAAGTCTTGTAGGGTAAATAGTGTGACGATATAGTGATGGTGTACCTGACATCATAATACAGCCGAAAAGTCTTGTAGGGTAAATGGTGTGACGATATAGTGATGGTGTACCTGACATCATACTACAGCCGAAAAGTCTTGTAGGGTAAATAGTGTGACGATATAGTGATGGTGTACCTGACATCATAATACAGCCGAAAAGTCTTGTAGGGTAAATGGTGTGACGATATAGTGATGGTGTACCTGACATCATAATACAGCCGAAAAGTCTTGTAGGGTAAATGGTGTGACGATATAGTGGTGGTGTACCTGACATCATACTACAGCGAAAAGTCTTGTAGGGTAAATAGTGTGACGATATAGTGATGGTGTACCTGACATCATACTACAGACAGTAACTAGGGCTTGATGTTTACACCTTTGTCAATGATACAGATCACTTCTATTGATACGGCAATGTTCACTTTGATACAAAAACTGCATTAGACTTACCACACGGCTCTAGCGTCCCACTATCTGCCTCGTCATGTGCCCGACCCTCGGGCAATTTTTTTAAGAGGTCCTCTGGGAGGCAGTAGACAACAGTTATGACCACAGCCAGGCATACAAGTTTGTATATAGTAACCATCATTCTGCATGTACTGGTGGCTTGCCTCGCTTTGAACATTTGTCATGTACGATTTGTCGACGTTTGAAAACCTTTAGAATATAAAAACTGTTGCTACAAAAATTAGTTATCTGACGGTGACTGTGGGGTACACTAATATATGTATCCGATGTCTCTTCTTACCCAAAGTCAAATTCCAGTAATTAAGATTCCTTACCAGAGACAACATTAATATGACAACTGCCATCTTACATGAACTTACTGTCAACAGATTCTCATTTACAATTGTTAATCTGTAACGAAAATTAAAGAAAGTAAGGAATTCTGACATCTTCCCAACAGAAAAACCTTTACTGGAGCACAAACAGGGGTGTATAACTTACAGGAGGTTACATCTCTCCATGTATAACAGAACTGCCAATGCAGGAAAGGGCAGCATTTCAAAGTTAAACGATACAATCGGTCATGGACTCAAAACAAGCAATTAGAGAAAAAGACAAGAAGAAGAAATGAAAAATGTTAACCATTGGTCCTGGCAAAAGCTGTACAGATTTATTTAACACTGACCAACACCCGAAAAAAAACCGTAGCATTTATATACCGGGCAATTAAAGGTATTGGCCAACCTTCTTAGAGAATAAGTACTTACTGAAAAACGGACGGTAATATTACCAATATTCATGAATACCGTACTCCGTATATGAATACAGATATTCACGGATCACAAAGTTTCACGGAATTCGTGGTCCCTATCTACAGCAACAGATATACATTTTCACAAATGTGACTTATTAAACACCAACGTTTGCGCAGCTGTATAAAGAGGTGTTTTGAAAGCACATCTTAGGGAGAAAAAGTGGTTAAAGTTTTAAGATAATGAAAACATTTTTTTTCAGAAATATTTCCTTCCCATACACTACAATACCAGAACTTCCATGACTTGCCGAATTTCAACACACTTTATGTTATAGGAACACGACTCTTGAAATAAGGAAATTTGGGAAATCTTATAAAACAATTAAAGGCTTCGTATCATAAATAATCCCACCATTCGAAGCATCACGGCGAAGTGTATAGCTCGGTGGCTTTGAAAAAACACTAAATAAACCTGTTATTGTGGGCACTATCTGGATCAGTATTAGTATTTCTGCTACTCAGAAAAAAACTTACTGGTTTAGCTATTCATTTGTTTGATATAAAAGAGTATATAATATTGTTAAGAGCACTTACTTTCAGAGTATGATTCTAAGAGTTGTTCATTTGTTTACTATGTTAAATGTCTTACTTTATATAAATATATGCTGATAGCTGGTAAGGTCGGCATTTAGGAGTTATCTCCCTTCGTCTCTTAGAGAAAAAATATTTATACATTCGAGTGGAGATAATTTGTTTTAATAACATGTGAATCAAAATCTTTGTTACTAAGTTTGTTCCTAATTGTCACATTGTCGATCTTGTTTGTTATCTATTACAAAGTGAGTCCAGTGTGAAGGCCTTACCTCTATTCTTATTTTATTGTTATCACATTCTGTAATTTTCAGAGCAAAAATACACGAAACATAACCAAGATTCAGTCTAGTATCGTTTATTCAAAATATGAGCAAAGTTGCTAGAAATAATGGTGTTGGGTATGGTCTTTGTAGTGTAGACCAGTAGTCTCATACCATGTTTATCAAATAAAAGAGAATCGACAAAAAATGTGTAACAAAAGAGGGTTTATATATATTGTTACAAAATGTAATTTCGATATTAGTGTATATCAGATACATAAGTCAGTAATCTTTGACTGTCTGGTTGTAGGATTATTTTGGTCAATATGTACCATCTGGCAGACTGAGTGTAATTATGAAAGTACAGTGGACAGCACTGACATCTAATTCTCCCGGTTAACAAGTATTTGGCAGTTTAATGGCAGTCTAATAAACTAAAGTCCATCCTGATAAGAAACTCAACCAATGGGACATTAGATCGTGGCATTTCCATGACGAGATCTTATAGAATAGGGATAAAAGGAGGGGAGTTTTTGGGGTGGGGGACAGAGCCCTATGAACAGACAGAGATAGAGAACTCACTAGCCCAATGGACACCATGATGAACTGTACGAGGAGTGGGTGTTTTAGTGTATACCTTAGAAGAACTGTTTTTAAACAGGGACAGTTCTGATACGAGACACAACGTGAAGTACTAGTATGAGTATATGAACTCTGTTCGTTGATGAGATGTTGCTTTTGTACATGTAACATTATTATTATTCAACATGTAATAAACATCACTATTGCCAACAAGTACGTGAGTTTACGCCTACTGTATTATATTGGTGACCGTGACCAAGGATTTCTTCTTAACATAATAACACTTCACATTACTCTTCATTAAACAATTAAATTAATTTTAAAGATTGAAGAAACAAATTTATCTGGAAATTTCTGATACATGTGTTCATGTATGTAAGGTGTTTAGCGAATCAATTGATATAAGCAGGGACGTATAATGCGTCCCTGATATAGGTGATAACACTTACTGTTTACTGATGAAGATCGATCATTCCTGAAAGCGCCTTAACGTGATCATAAAGCCAAAGTAACATGGCGGACTGAATGCCTCCAAACCAGGAAGAACATTGGTATTTGTATTTCAAGTTCCCTTGTAAAATTTAAAAAGCTTTGCGTGTTGTTATAAAAAGGCTCAAGATGGATCGAAAAGAAAAGAAAAAGTATGTTCTGCTTTTCTAATCTATTATCCCAGTCAAACTTAACAAAACTGATGATAGTCTTTCAGTTTTTCTGTCAGTTTATTTTCAGACCAATTTACAAAATAAAAATAGTTTTGTCCTCGTCAAGCAGACTATGCTGTGATGCATTCATGCAGTAAGGTAGGTGATTACTAACACAAGGAATCTTAAGCCACTTCCTCATTCTGTGAATCAAACTTTTTATTACTTCAGTACTGAATATATTGAAACGTTTATCATTCTTTCATAATGAAGCATTTTCTGAGTATTAAAATTGTTAATGTCATGGACGTATAATACATATGTATTATACGTCCCTGGTAATGTTTAGGCTCCAAAACGAAAGTAGATTGTAACCGGAAGTATCCCCAACAAAACCATATCCGGTTGTTATTGGCGGGTCGTTTAACAGAAAAGATGTCTGAAGGCATTGAGAATTATTTCAGTATTGACGACATTCTCTCTAGCCAGGAGCGTTTGCCATGCACCGTGGAAATGACCATCTATCGACTGGGTGAGGATCAGTAGAGTATGACAGAATTGTCTTGTTTAACTTGTTTAACGGCAGACTTCTTCATGCCCAACTTGATCAGTTGATGTCCCCGGTTTTCCCGTTTCTTTTTTTCCTCCAGAACTCGCACAACATGACAAACCGTTGCGTGGATTTTTAATGTAACATTTCAGACTTAAATCGCATCGAACCTGACTATTATTTATGACAACCAATTACTTTGCCAATGCTTAACAGAAAGCGAAATAAAAGCATTATTGCAGGCCTAGCTAAGTTCTTGCGTATCACCCAGATTTAACCTGGGGTTCCTCGGTCTTATCCTTATTGTTACACCAGATGTAAACCATTTTGACGGATATTTTAACCTTTCATCAATAACTGAAATTATAAAAGACAAAAATCACATTTCTAGGACTTGTAACCAACTAAAACTACAACAACTGCATTCATGCTTTTTGGATCAGTATTTGTTTAAGAATGAGAGGCTTGAATTCTGTATATCTGAATGCCTATGTAATAATGATAAAAATAATTCTGTATTTGCAGAGGTTAACATAAGTACAAGTATACTAATATTCCACACTGCCCTCCTAAATATTTAATCATAAACAAATACTAACAATCAATTGGGTACATTATCAACCGAATTGATATACGCATGTAATTTAAAATAAAGAATTACCCCTAAATCAAGTAAATCAAAGTCAGCAACAATAAATATAATAATGAAATAATTAAAAGATTTAAGATCAGGGTTTGCTCTCAGTATTTTCTTAATAGGTCCTTCGGTAAAATTTAAATGGAGTTCCTTACCTGGTGTCCTTTTAATCTTTTATTCTTCAATTGTCTTTTGGGATGGTTTGAAAGCAAACTCAGATTTATGTGAACAAATTTAATTTTTTCATATTTTCTTTAATTAGGGTACATGGATTCAAGTTCTGAAAGTGAAGATCTACTACCAGGTACAAAGATTGAGATGCCATTTTGGATGGCACGAGCATTGTGTAGTCGCAAACGCCACATTGTAAGTGTCGAGATCCCCAAACAGTACAAGGAAAGTTATCGTGAGATCTTGACAGCAGATGCTACTGTTGTGGACCTTCACAAACTAGGCCCATTTTACTATAACTATGGATGTCAGCTTCTTCGGTTTGAACTACCCGACAGTGGAGACATTTCAAAGTGTCTGCTCAAGGTTGGTGTACTTTTTCACACTCTTTTGCAGTGTTTTAGCTAACTAGCAGACAACATTGAACAATTCAACGCCATGCTTTCATTTTCAATGCCCAACTTTGTGTTTCTTACTATCGTTCTACATGTCCTGATTTTTCTTTTTAACCATTCTCATTTTTTTGTTGACTAGTAAAAATTTGCTGGTGGTCGTCAAATTTAATTTTAATACAGTGGCAAACAGCTATTAGTGGTTTAGGTAAGATTTCAAGTCCCACAGCACAGGAGAGCAAGGTGAACACATATCCAAAATATAAAGTTCCAGTGACCAGTAGTGTAGGAGAAAGAGCCCAGACAAAATTTTTCTTTGATGTTGGTAAAAATGTATGTTAGAGTGATCAACTTCTGATATATGACACACAAGCTTACCTGGGATAAACCATTCCTCAAGTATGAAATTTCAATAATGAGTGGTGTAGGAGAGCTCAGACAAGATAACTGAAGGACGGACAGAAAGACAAAAACATAAGGACAGATAGACACAATGCAGAACTATAGTTCCCCCAGTCCCTTCAGGGGGACTGATAAGGACACCTGTTTATAATGTCAGACTGTGCATGATATTTTTGTTTATTTTCAGACTTTTCAGACCCGTTTACGAAAAATAATGGATTCTTCACAGAATGCTTTGAATGAAGACACCACAAGACTTACAGAGAAGTTAGACGAGTCTGAGAGACTGCTGTTTAAGGCAGGACAGCAAGGCCTTAATGACTTTTTTAAGTGGGAAACAAGACAGATAGAGAAACTGACCACATCAGAAATGGTCAGACATCACCGCAAACGGAAACGTGCTGCATTAGACGATGCCTGATTAATGTTATAGATGTCTGTTAAATCTCTCCATTCTATCAGAAAGGAAGTCTCAGCTCTTTTAAAATTAATATTAAAGAAAGTCATTGTAACTGTAAATACTGTTATTCTGCAGATTGTGATTACTTAAGTGCGAAAGTTACAGTAGCTGTAAATTCTGACTTTCTTTCTCAGGAAAATTGACAATTTTCATCCTCTTTATCACAAGAATTAATGGTAATTGTGAATGTTGTTGACATCATTTTCAAGGAGTGTGACAAATACTGTAAATCATCTGTATTTCTACTGTATTTTAAAACCTGTGGGTATTGCCTTTATTTATTTGTATGAGTACTGTTTAACAATGAATATACGTCTGTGTAGGACTTAGTTTCCTTTTTGCTTTGTTACACTAGTAGCTATGAAATATACAACTTATTTTGTTTTTGCCACAAAGGTTACAACTTAAAACAAACAGACATGTTTTATTTGCTGTCTTCATTGTGTATTTCAAATGATAAATGAACTGAGTTGCTCTTGTGACAAACTTAACGAAATTCAAATATTTGTAATAATGTCATATTTTGATTTAATAATTATTATATGTATTATTTATCTTTATCAATTTAAATTCTGTAAATCTGGAGCAAATTTGAGTACTTTTATTTAAAGATTGGCATCAAACATTTAAGAATTCTCCCCCTTACAGAATCTGAAAAGGATGTATTTACAAGTTCAGATCAAAGTTAATCTGGTCAAATTCATGGACAAATGAAATAGGCTAAATTTGGTAGTTTCACTGAGTCCAAAATGAGTGGAAATTGAATATTGCAAGTTTGTTTTGTCATGAAAATATAACTATTTTATAATTTCACACATCTGTGAAAAAAATTATAGACATGGACAGCATGTGTCTTGTCACTTTTTTCTTTAAGAAAACTGTCTGAAGTGTGTTTACAAACTCAAAGACAGAATTTGAGTAAAGTTCACTTGGGATATTTATTTGTATAAATGATGTGTTTCCTCATATTGTTGGATATTTGTTATGATATGTATTATTATCAAACACAATATTTGTGAAAGCTTGCCTTCACAACTAAATTAGTATTAAAAGAAAGTTTTATCCTAAAAATTCTTCATTTATTCATGAAAATACAATCTACCCCTCTTTTTGAGAAGAGAAATGGCACAGATATATGCAAGAGACTATCTTATGTTTAAGACAACTTAAAGGTATGAGTGAAGAGAAGTTATTGATTTAAAAAATATATATATATTTAAACTTAGGGAGGCACTATATTGAGGAATATGTATGGTACATATATATGTATGTATAAACTTTTAAACTATAGAGCACATCCTCCAGACAGTTTGTATAAATGTTACTATTGTCTATGATCAACAGTATACATGTTCTTTACTCTCAGTAACAGAAATTCAACTGAACTGATAAAATTAATATATTACATAATTTAAGTTTCTTCCTGTTTGTTGTTTAATTGAATTGCTATAGGAACATATTTAGAGCTCTATAGATTTTATTGTATAATGAGTCTTAAGTGAATATTTCCTGGTACATGGACATACATCGTTTTGTCCTTTGGAACTCTGTTGTACGTATTTAGTGAATATTTCCTGGTACATGGACATACATTGTTTTGTCCTTTGGTACTCTGTTGTACTTTAGTGAATATTTCCTGGTACATGGACATACATTGTTTTGTCCTTTGGTACTCTGTTGTATTTCTTTAGTGAATATTTCCTGGTACATGGACATACATTGTTTTGTCCTTTGGTACTCTGTTGTATTTCTTTAGTGAATATTTCCTGGTACATGGACATACATTGTTTTGTCCTTTGGTACTCTGTTGTACTTTAGTGAATATTTCCTGGTACATGGACATACATTGTTTTGTCCTTTGGTACTCTGTTGTACTTTAGTGAATATTTCCTGGTACATGGACATACATTGTTTTGTCCTTTGGTACTCTGTTGTAATTTAGTGAATATTTCCTGGTACATGGTGGATATATATTGCTTTGTCCTTTGGTACTCTGGTAAATTGACAAATGACGAAATTTATCTAATTATGGGGCAGCTGCACCTCCCCGTCTAGATTTTGACACTGCCAAGTCCTAGAAGGACGGAATAGTTGTATGATACAGTTTAATTCACTGTTTGGCTCTACACTATCTCACTCTTAATTGTAAGGTGCTATTTACATATGTGTCTTTTGTACAATCTTTGGAAGAATGTTTTATTTGAAAATGTTTGATTAGTTATGATCATGTCACATTTTCTTTCAATGATTTCAAATGGGTTTATATATGTAACACTTTCACGTCCCTTGTTGAGCTCACATGCAATAGATTGTAACAAGGACATTGTCATCAAGATCCCCCGTCCATATTCATTTGTAAATTATATACATTTGAAGAGAGCAACATGGACAAATGGAAAAGATATCAGCCAATCGGATCACAGCAGCCTCATTAAATATGCACAGAATTTGCAGATAGTCAAACTTGAACAAGAGGTTAAGGTAACAAATCAACCAAGCAAGTCTCACCATAATTCATTTGTTCCTTAATATATATATCAGCCAATCAGGTCATAGCAGCCTTCCAAATATACATAGCATTTGCCGATAATCAAACGTGAACGAGGAATTTAGGTAATAAGTACAAATCAAGTTTCTTAAAAATCTTATTCTTTTATACCATAACGTGCAGAAAGATTTCCAATAGAGTGAAATAGAGGGATAAGAAAAGGGAGCTAACTCAATCAGTCGTTTACCTACCCGTTCTAATGGCAAGCGTGGTTCTTGCATTCCTACAGGACATGGTTCACAGAATTATAACTTTATTGTTTTGTATACAAAAATTCCAGAAGAGCTGCTTAAGTTGATTATTGGAGTTTGTTTTCTAGCCTTACACTATAAGCTGAAAATAACAATCATTTATGATATCTAGAGAGCAGGAACTACCCAAAAGTGTTACAACAAGGGTTTATTAGCTTTCATAGGTCTTCATGTCATGGTTTTTTCTTTTCGCCAAGAACCTACAGTGTCACATACAGACATTTGTTTAGATAAACACTCACCGTCTATTGAACACGAAATCCAGCTCACCAGTGCCTAGTCAATTAGAGATTGTTAACCCAGCAACATATGCATCGCTTATTAACACAAGTTTTAATGCTCGTATATACATATATATCTCACTTGTGAAAAAGCAATATGTTACAAAACTAGAAACATAAAACGTGCTGTAACACATGAAAAAATATCTACTAGGACGGACTTGTCCACAGCACAAAAGTGTTGCTTTGTGCGATGCTAGATCTATCGTTCAGCAAGAGACTGGAGCTGGGCAGTATAGGTGAGGAGTTTGGAGCCCTTGTAAATAACCTTTCAAATTTCCATCAAGATCCTGCAGATTCCCATGAAGCATTTGATGTGCAAGAAAGTAACTGAAAGGCTTCAAGTCTTTTCTGGAGAGCTGCCTGTTGGTGTGATGAGAATTTGGCTATGTTGGGTGGATTATGTTGTGGTAGGTTCAGACAGTGGTGTATTACTGTATAAGTACTGCTGACGTCAGTAATTATATAAAATTTAGGTGTGTTTTCATGATTTACACGACCACTTGTCAAATACAGATTTATACGATATATTTATCCCAATCAATTTCTTTGTTACTTTTGTTAAAGCTTTGTGTAAATTTATTTGTAAAAATAACGCCACGCATAAACCAACAATATGGTTTAGAGTAGTCTGTTATCTGCCAGAAGAGATAAATCACTTCACGGCTGTACAGGTTTAGAAATATGAAACACTGAAGAAAATATACCATTCATGATGAAAATTTGTCTTTTCTGACCATCAATATGGTACAATGAAAAACCATGAAAGAGGTTTTTCCTAACTACAGCTCCCTATCTATACCTTAAAGTTGCGATTCAAAGTAATTTTTTGTCATATTTCATCCTTTTTATCAAATAATGCAATTTTTGGCAACTTTCCACCCCAATTTTATAAAGTAAATGAACATTGTTATTGTGTTAAGGTCTGGATTGATTTTAATAAGTGTGTTATTCTGTTATTCGCCGTTGTATTTTAATCAAGGAATACGATTTAAGAAATAAATAACTTGAATATATGACGGCTGAACATATGTTCATAATAATTTACAACACGTGCTATCATTAATGTTAAATCGGTTCTACAGGTATGGCGTTGCATGATAGCTGGTGATGTATGATTTGATGACGATATATGCCTGTATTGTATTATGTTTCTTGGCTTCCAATCTCATAATTCATTTTGATGAATAGAAAGACAACTGACCTTCACTGTCGTTTACTGAAGTTAATGACTGTTGTGCAAAAGTGATTTTGTAGGTACTGTAGATAAAAAGATATCACTTTCTTATTTTGCTTTTGTTTCGGTTTACAAAACGATGATATTTAATTGGCAGTACATCATTCCATTCATTCACGTCAAGGTTTAACTTTCACAGTCAAGCCAGAGAAACCACGCTGCTAACAATAAATACATATTGCTTTTGGGCGTTTGATTCTGATGGAGTTACTTCCCTTTATATATCTTCGGTTCATTTATGAATAAATTAATTTGAAAAGTATTCAAATTAAAATAGAACGTAACACGAAAAAGGAATTAAATACCACCAGTTGCTATGTGCCGAGTTGGACCGTAGTTATAAGTAGAGACAGACAAAGCTGACGGAGGGAAGTAATTCATAGATCATCTTTCATTCAGTCCCTACAGCGTTTGTTGTTGAAAAGTTTGGATGCAATTGGCATGGAATAACTAGGGAATCACAGAGGTATTTCTGCATTGAAAGTATGTTGGGACGTTACCTTAAACATATTTGCGTAAAATATTACTGGTGTTAATAGAAATTACTCCTTATTCATAAACTCAATTTTCATAAATTTCCTAGTTGCTGAAGAATCGCGGTTATCCGAGGGAGGAAGTGAATATAACATTGTTCGATTATGATGAGTATGTATCAAGGTGTTTATGTTATCCTATTCATATTTTGGGAACGTTCCATTACTTGAACTAACCTACTTTCATACTCCGATTATACCTACTGCCAATTTAAGGTTACTTATCGTGATGCCGTTTATTCGGTAAATTCAATGACTTTAATGGGAATTTCAGAGAACCCCAATATCTCACACAATCGATTGAATATCGAATCATTTGCAACATATAAACACCACAAGTTGAAAGCAAAATGTCACTAGCTAGAAATGGAAAATTCACAACAGGGAATTAAAGATCACTACACATACGATATATCTTAATAAGAAACTATCATTCTTTGTATGCATAAATCGGGGTAAAGAGTCTTGACCACCAAACTAAACGAAAGTATTGTCAATAAGAAAATCGATCATTTTCATCGATTTCATCTTCAGTATATTTATGTTTGATTTTACGTTCGACTATTGCCGTTTATCTTTATTTGAAAACTGGGTTCTTAAAACTGAAGGTGTTTCCATACTGACATTACTGACATAGATTGAACAAGAAGTTTTTTGGAAGGTGTCGTAAATGAAGCAGAAGACGCTTATTGACCCGGAACACATGGTTTTATAGTCCGTGTGCTTTTTGTAGGAATATTCTCATTAATCTTTCTTTGTTATTATTATGCCTTAGATTTATTGTATTTAATTTTAGAATGTGATTATGTTGATATATTGTTGGCACTTTCTTTTTGGTTTTGGATGTGGTAAGTATCCAAAATGGAAAAAAAATTCTTGTAGAAAAAGTGTCCTTCCATTTTTTTTTTACATTCGATTTTCCACAGTTGCGTCTTATGATTTTTGACTTTGGCCTTATTATCACTGACGAGTACCCAAAGTTTAAGTAATTATTTAGCTCTATTGCATTTACTTCTAATTTTGTATTAAAACGTTATTTTCTCTTGTGTGTGTTTTATACATTTATTCCAATTCCCGATTCAATGATTCAGGTGAAGTTAAGGAATCCTTCTCCTTATCACTAACTGATTCGATCAACCTAAACGAAGATATTGTTTCATAACCAGAGAATGAAGACGTTCTTTAAGTTTGGAATGTGGTAACGGTATGGTAATGTTAGTAAATACGTTATCTGGATGATTTTAATGCTGAATCATGATAACATGATATTTCGTGTTTGGAAAGCTATGCTAATATGCAAGTAGATTTTCCTACATTTTCGAGCAGGTGAATTTCTGTTTGTAAGCAGGAAATGTAATGTTCTTTGCAGACACATGTAATGAGATACAAGTGGATGGTCTCTTTATGAAATTTATTAAGTGTAAATGTACAGGTTTACTTACGTTTCAGATTTTAAGCTGCTAATTCTAAAAATAATTTAATGGATTTCATCCGCAAGCTCTTCTTTCCTCCTTTCTGTAACGTAGATTTTCAATGTTCCATACAGATTTTAAAATTTATATTCCCTACATAAATCCCTTGTTGCTTCCCATTTCGTATACTTCAACTGCCAGTAGGTATTTGTCCAACTGGACAATAGTTACACGGAGAAGTAAACAAGAACATGCCGAAGCAGGACTAGTTTTTAGCTAATATGAGTTCATATGTTGCATTGTCTGCTTCCAGTTCGTTATGAAAGGCTTGAACATTGAGTATTCCTCAATAAAGCAGTCATTAATGTTACCTGTTGTGATGGGTACTTTAATGTCAATCGTGATAGTACCATTCAGTTGCATGTTTTTTGTACAACCTTCAAGATTGCAGATGGTAAAGAATGCTGCTAGATAATTTGCCCTAACGGTTTGCAGTAACCTGCATGATAGGTTTCTATTCATTGGAAGAGTGTCATGGTTCACAATGAATGCATACATTTGACGTTGTTCTAAAATGTTAAGATACACGATAATTAAGAAGTTTATTTAATTATTGGGCCCGTGCACCTCCCTATCCAGATTTTAATTTATCGTTCGATCGCTTAAGATTTCCCCATTCGCTTCCTATGCTTCAGAATTTAAGTCCTTAGCATCAATGACGAGTCATAGGAGGACGAAACAGCTGTATGATGCAGTTAAACTCTGTATAAAAGGTGCTATTCACTTACGTGTCTTTAGTGCAATCTCCGAATATGGAATCAACTGCGGCGTGTAGATACACAATGCTTGGGAAGCAGGGTTGCTACAAGCACAAGTTCACAATGGGAAAATAGTCACGCTTATCGGACAGTCCAAAGTTGTCCCCGTTGGTTGTGTTGAATGTAAAAATCGGGGTAGGCGGATGATGTAGAAAAATCCATCGTGCCCTTGATTTCTAATTCTTGTAGGTATATATGATGGAAAGAGTCAACATATTTTCTATCACTTAAATCATCATAAGTACATTTAACATGACTTGACAAGCTGATTTTATAACATTCATATGATAACATCATAAAAGGGACCACGAAGAAAATTATCGAAATGAATTCAAATCTTGAGAGGTTTTATAACACATGTCTGTGCTCAGACGAACGGACGCCTCATAGGGGTATAATTAACACAAACTCGATACTATATTTGACTTTTTTTTTATTTCCAGCGATATACAACATTGTGTTCTACAAAGTCGTATTGGAATGAAAAACATAATCAATAGAAAAATATAGACCAAAATATTGCAACATACAACACCAATAATTTAACACCATTTCTATCATTACAACGTAAGGCACGACTAGGTATATACAAACAGAACGTCAACACAATGATTTGTAGCTGGTATCACAAGGCTTGTAAGTAGTGATGATTGCCTAATGCTGCAGGTGTAGATTGTGATTTTCTATAGTATCCACATGCAAATAATGTTATTTGTCAATTCACTACAATATCACTAACAATCACAACTTGGTTTGTTTTGCTGTCTTTGCATAGATAAATACTAACATACAAACCTAAGTCTTAAAATAATCACGGCTTCAAAATTCCAAATAATTGAATAAAACAACCTTAAAAATAAGAAAACGACAACGGCGCAGTCGAAAGTGCTTGCATGAAAATGATAGTGCGAAAGTTTAAATATCTTTTTTTTAAATGAAACGAATTCCGGTAAATTGAAATGGACTAAACAGGAGAGAGAAGTGCGTCTTAATCTTGTATTTACAAAGTACATCTACTCACGGAGCGAGGCACAACACAATGACAGTCAATAGTTTAGCAATATATACCGATGTTATTGTAATGTTAGAGGAACGTTTCTAGTGATCATGAGTATTTATAATACCTATTTATAGTTTAAAGTTAGACAAAATTCAGTACCATTTCGATCTAAATATTTGAAATTTAACATTTTTCGTAAGAATAACACCATCATTAGTTAACATATGATGCTAAGACTAATTTGACTGTAGATGTCACCTTTTTGATGAAGTAATATTGATATCATACAGCAGTGATTGAACCATATGAATGAACACTCGGCCATGATGGTAAAGATGTAACTATGAGTTTTCTTAACCAATATCGGCCACGGACTATAACGTGCCCAAATAATGTAGATTTACTTACATCTGATATTTTCCCGTAATTATGCTAATGAATATATAACATGTATGGATACAGCCACACCTTGTCAACATTTAGGTCAAGTTTTGGTTTCAGGGATGTCTGATTTTATAATTTAAACACACGTACGTAAAGTAAACATTCTCCACACACAAAGTTTTAATCGTCTTAAGATTCCAAGCAATTTACATGTTTTCAAAAATGTTATGAATTTACGATCAGTTTCTAGGCTAAGGAACAGGCTTCGAACCTTTCTACAACTACATGGTATACGTTGATATCTGTGTAAAACAATGTCCAAATAACACTTATCACGTTCAGCAACAGGATTATGCAATTTACAAACACATATGGGTCACACTGCTTTTAGAGATACAGTGAATATTTGTTGAACGTCAATAAGTACGTCCAATTATAGGCCATTAGTAATAATTGTCCATTAAACTGGACGAAAGCAATCACTAATGCCTAATGACTACCGTTCATCATTTAACAATCATGTATACTACTTTTGTCCACGTTCCATCAGCACACACACAAAGTTGGAGAAGCCCAGTGCTAGATATCTTAATAACATTAACTATTTATTTTGTTTCTATCTTCATCTTTATAAGGAACACTTTATATGGATTAACTTTGTTAATCATACGAAAATCTAATTACACGGGACGTGAATTTTAGAAATAGGTTTAACACATTTCATTAATTTGAATATCTTAATGTTACTAATAAGTATTTCACACATCAGTGATTTATAGAAGATCTTAATTCAATGAAATCAGTCACAAAACCACCAGTAGTTGGTATGTGTTTTAAATCAAGAAGAGGGAATCTAATGTAACCAAGATATAAGAAGAGCTGAAATAATATCTCACCGTGTAATTTACTGCATCTTCTGTTTCCATGTTTTTATTAATAGTTTATGTACAATCAAGATTACCGTGGTCACCAAAACATGGCCCATCAATCTGTGTTCATTTTATAATTACCAGAAGTGTTAGTTATATCAAGCCTATTGAGTATTTATTTAATTCTCCAGTATCGTATACTCAGTAAAACACATTAATATTGCATGAAAATCAGCGAATATAATATTTTAAAGGAAAAAATGAAAAATAACAACAAATATTTAAATATTAATAAAATAAGTTTGGTATCATAATAACTTCGTGTAAATAATTTGTAACATTAAACATAACATAACTAAATAACTTGTGTTAAGATAAAGATGACTTCGTACACTGTTCAGTGCTTGGGCCTCGCGGTAGTAGGCTGGAACGAGAAAAGTAGAAACATGTTCTATAATTCAAGATATGTTTCATGTTGAGATATATTAGCAATAAATGATATGTAAATTATTTTTTGTATGTTAGAGTAAATAAAATGTTTTGAGTCACATGATAACACGAATACCTTCTAGTACCAATGTACTTTACCCCACGTTCTTGTGTGTTCTGTTAAGTCTCACACAGATCAGGTGGCCGAGTTTTTACGTGATATCAAGAACGTTTATCAGATAAACGGCAAAATATTATATACAGATCTTTGTGTGACATAGAAAACATCACTATCTGCATCCAGTACATCTAAAGTATGGAATATCCTGCAGTTTTATTTGTTTAAATAATCATTACCACATATTCGTTGATAAAATCGAGAAAAAAATTTTAAATGACATAAAAATTACACAAAGTATTACAGCTCTAAGCAGTTCCAATATCACAAACCAAGCTTCCAGCAATAACTGATCAACTTTATAGCCTTAGAACAAACAATTACGTGTTTCATACGTGTATTGGCACAGTAAACACAGTAAATTCATTGATATTAAAATTGCTGGGTGTTTGTATTCATAAAAGTTAAACTGTAAATTTCGTCCGACTAATTACTTTCCACTTTAGAAGTAACACTGTTTGATTGAAAAAATTAACGCAGTAAATTTCGTACGATTTTTGAAACAAAGCTGTTGAATCGAAAGTTTGAACACAATAAATTTCGGCCGACTAAATAAGTAAAATAGTAAGATTGTAAGTTTGACCATAATAAATTTTGTCCTATCATAGAAGTAAAATTGTTTCATTTAAAGCTCAGTACGGTTAATTATATGGTTGTCACAATAGGTTCCATGCTATTTGTATTTATAGAGTTTTAACTGAAAGCTTACCACAATAAATTTCGTCAGATCGGTCGTCACAATCGTACACACCATCACAGATATTTGACATCGGGATACACAGGTAGTTATTCCGGCAGTGAAACCCTCCTGAACACGGATCCATTGTTGTGGACGCTGTGACGAGGTAAGATATAAGATGAATATTTATGTCTTTTTACTGTCTTGTGTTTATGTAATCTTTCCCACAATTAATACGTACATATCTCTTTAAGTGATGTCGATAAATGTATCTGTTTTACAATATACCTTGTTTTTCAAATGCAAAATATTTTGTCAACGTAGTGACATACATTTGTAAATGCATTGTAACAAGTTGATATAATTGCGGATTCAATCGTTCCGGGTACCACATGTTATATGCATACAGTATCAAAGACATTGGTGAGTTGGTGAGAAACACTTACGTTCTGGTGGTAACGACCAGCCTAGCTCAATTTTCCATAACTCTGTAAAAAAAATAGAACCAGTGAGATGATGGCGATACACTGTGCACCGTTCAAAAGCGTTGATAAATCATTAATTAGATGGAGACTTAAAATAGGAAATAACTTTGTACAAGAAGTGCAATTTGTGCCCGCTCTCGTTACAATAAAAATGCAATAAAATATGTTCAAATGCAAAATCGAAATATTTAAAACAAAACTATATACTATATGACGATGTTTTCCTCGCCAGTGTGTAATTTTTGCTAGAATTACATATCTATTTTAGTTTGTTCTCATCAAAGGTAAAAACATAACATGGCTTAAAAGTTTTCAGGTTGTGACACCAAAACGTGAAACGTGTGCGTGCCGAAATAAACCTTTTAAACAGTAATTCTGCATCATACAATAGGATGATTAGAATGGAATCTCGAAATACATTGTCACCATGATGGAGCGATACATACTTGATATGGAGCACATTGGTTCAGGACTCTCGTCTGAGTTGTCTCCACAGTGATCCACCCCGTCACAAGTAAGATGACGATCTATACACCACAGGTTACTACACAAATAGTCAGCCTTCTTGGGACAGCCATCTGAAACAGTGAATATCGGAGTTACCAACGTGATGTCTACTAGGTTGATGACTAACTTCCAAAACAGACCATTTAAATATCAATTTAGTGCTGGACACAGTTAAACGAATCATAAGTCTGGTCGGTGATGCTAGCGGCGTACATTTTTAGAGCTGAAACGACAAGGGTGATATTAATGGAACTTAACCATCCTCACAGCAGTCAAAGTTTGTTGAAGAAGACGGATATCAGGAAGCATTTAAAGACAAGTTAATCAAGCTCAAATTCAATATAATAAAGGCAAAACAATTAAGATTTACAAGGAGAACAACATCAGGTGTTCCATAAGCATAAGAGTGTCCTACCATCAACGACGACATGTCTAAAGAAATGTAAATCTTGGTCAATGTCACGTTCACCGATAAAAACAAGATATACAACTACGGATCTAACGGTCAGCTTACGAGCATGAAACACTCCCACCTTCATTTCGCACAAACAAAAGAATATTTATAATAGTATTATTATGACGACTGTAAAACATAATTTTCACTTTCCTGCATCATTTGAAACCCTGTATTATGACCTAGTCCGTCAGTTGACGACGTCTTGCATGAAAATCGTGACATTGGAAACAGACCATTGAACATCGAATTAACTGCGACATTAAACACCATAGGCTGGGGATGCGGGGAGGTTGCTATCCAGAAATGGAAGATTAACACTAGGGAAGTTTAAATCATCGCGTTAATTACGCCGATGAAGATAAAGCAAACGTTGATTACACTTCTTGTTACTTCACTTTATAGACTTGATTGTCTAAATCTTACCGTCAGTGACATTATCCACCGCCGTGTACACGAATGTAAGACTATCTTCCGGATAAAACGTTCCCCTTATCCGGATATAGAACCCTTCCTTACTAGTCAACCATGTGCCCGTTGTAAGGTTGGTGGATATATATCGAGTGACTTGGGGACTAACTGATGTAAGGCCGTCGTGTATATCTAGAGTGTTACTGCCAAAGTCAAGCCATCCTGAATTTAAAAAAAAACAATACATGTTAGTAATAAAAAACTAGTATGTAGCTTATAAATTGTTATTTCATTTATACTAATCTTTATCGTAAGTGGTCTTACATTATAGTGCGATATCGTATGTAATACGTCACCAACCCTTACGATTACATTCTGCTCTTCCTTTTTTCTTTTGTATTATTTTGTATGCCGGACCTGATACTTATTTATATAAATATTCCTCACATGTTCCAAGTTATTTGAATGTAAGCTGAAATATGATATTGATCCCTATAGTAAAATATTCTCTTGTTCAAAATGATATTGATTTTTTTCTTTAAGTGTATAATGATACACATAGATTTATTTACATACAACACATTGTTGTACACTTATATATACCACTACTACTACTACTACTACTACTACTACTACTACCGATTCTATCTACCTCTTCAGTGATAACCAAATCATGTGAAAATAATACATCTATACGCATGTGATAGCCATTTTTTATGTTTTTATATACATTTTTGTTTGCTTGTTTTTTTTCTTTCTCTTTTTTTGGTTTTTGTTTTTGTTTTTTGTTTTTTTTTTAGTCTTGATTTCTCTTAATCTGTATCAGTTGCACGATTCTGTTATATAAAAATATAAAAGGGCGCTGTCGGACTGGTTTCCATGACATGTGGGACGCTGTACAGGTAGAGTCAGTCCATCTTAGTAATGTCCTTCTACAATTTGTCTTGCTATACACTTGTTTGCTCTTCCTTGATCAGGATAAATCTTCCACATTTATACATATTTTTTGACAATGGATAGAACGGTAACATGTCCTGGTTTGGATAGAGAGGTGAATGAATTAATTATTCTACTTCCTATGGAAGTCAACATCCACTTATGAACATTATCTTACGCTTGATTTTATGTGTCGATATTTATCCAAATCCGGGGCCAAACAATGATATAAATATTCATATTGACAATATTTCCCTTTGTCATCATAATATATGCTCAATAAGAAACAAATATCATATTCTTGATTTTTTTATTGGATCTATGATCTTAGTAATCATATGATATTAATACTGCAGTATCATTTAAAATTACGGAACTATTTTCAGGGATGAGAGAGCTAATTGTGGTGGTATATTTCAATGTATTATGATTTTATTTACTGGACATTTAACTGTCAAGTTTCTTCGCCAGATGAATGTCTGGCAAAAATACTTAAAACAAACATAAATTTTCTTTTCTCTGATGCCTTTTTCATTTCTATTGTTTCTCTTAAATATCTTTTCTTCCATCTGAAAATCTGACACACGCTGAGCCCCTCCTCTATTTCCTATGTAAATATCGACAGATACATTGTAAGAGATTCCAGATCAATTTGAACTGAAATGTAAAGTCATCAAGTTTATTTTGAATAAGCTTCCCATAACAGCAGCTGTGTGACAGATGAAAGGGATTACAGTCACTTCGGCTGACACTTAACCAAGTATGTACATACTGCACTTGTTAGACAAAACCAGAGACGTGTTCCACCACCCAGGCAAGACGTCAAAACAATGTGCTGTCAACACTGACACAGGCATTTACAATGTCTTGTCCATGACATATACATTCCCATCCCGGCCATTCAGCAATCTATATTACGTATAATGTCGACACTGACACAAAAATAACATTTTTACATTTTCGAAGTAATCCTACCGGAATCAAATGGGAACTTACTTTCTATTGAGTATCTGAAGTTATGATGATTAAGCATGTATACACTGCTTATCGCGATAGCTGCCTATGCGAATATGCTAAATGTAAATATTATCTTTCTTAATGCAACGAATGTTAACAAGACCGGAAATGGAAGCACGCATGCTTTTCCCGTTCACCCGGAAATAGGGAGGGTCAGGTTGTCTATATGCTATACATATATTTTTTAGTGTTATGGAATTACCATCGCCTAGAGAGTAGTCTGTCAGCCTCAACAGCATTCCTTCCATGTTCTTACTAGGCGGTCTCTTTATGATCCAGATACAATCGTAGACTCCTGGGAGGGAGGGCAGGGCGTGGGTCATCTCCAACTTCCCCCCTGTCTTAGCCGGGACGAAAGAACTACAATCTGTAAAGGGATAGCAACAACACTACTATTGTCACTCTCAAACATCACCAGCATTAATGACCACGTTTAAACTTTTGCCATACAAACATTATGTTGTGATTATTATGACTGAATGTTATCACATAATCAGACTCGTTGTTTAGAGTACGTAATCAATTTACATACAAATCAAATTACTTACTGGTACTTGGTTTCTTGTCCCATCTCTTTTCTGTGAGTAATAAAATAAATTAATGTTGCTTTTAGTCCATGACAAAACAATATGATTCAAATTAAAAGCATTACCTCAATTGCCATTACATACTTTATTGCGCTAATGTTCATAATAATACACGTCGCCAAAACACTGATGTTCGCCGGTGAGACGGACACGGGAGGAGTCACGGAGACGGAAAACCTGTCAGTCAATCAATCAATCATAATTATTCTAGTCGAAAACGATGATTTCCCATACAAGAACAAGAAGACGAAGAAGTGAGGATCAAAACGAAAGGAGAAGAGGAGGACGTTATGAACCAAACCAGGAGATGAAATTAAAACTGGAGTCATTTATTGTAGGAAATGTGACGCCAGTGCAATACTTTTTAAATCATAAGACACTTCTTAATATATAAAAATATCTTTCAAACTTGTATTTCAGCAAGTCTCTACTCCAGTAAAACGAATCGCTAATTTTACTAAAGTTTGCTCGGTACCTTCATTTTCATATTGTTTTGAATGTTTTTTTGTGTTTATCATTTTTGCTAAAGCTAGGGTCATATGAGGACGACAGTTTTATATAAAAATATTTTGTATCCGTTTCGCCTATCACCGAAATCAGATCTTCATCAGTGCCAAACATGAGTTGATATGTAGACAATTTTTCAAACAATGTACCTAAACTGATATCAATTACGTATAACTGAATCACTAAAAAAGTTACAAGACACTATGATGAGATTAAATCCGAAGGAAAGCTATGTAGAATTTGGGATTCGTTATGGAGCAATGCCAAGTACAGAATTAGGTGATCTCCTCATGAAGGATATAAATTATGTATTCTCTTGAGTACACAACCAAGAGTTATTTTACATCACCAGCGCATTGTTGAAGGGGTTTTGGTTTCTTCTACTTCGAGCGAATTTAATTTTCTTTATAAATACGGATAATCCCACCAACATCTAAAAAATAGAGTCTGAAATCTCGGAAACAAACATCAACAGATTTGTTCAGTCTGGTCTTCAGTTATTTTCGGAATTCTTGGTGACAAAACATTTACTCTTTTATGTAGAATAAGTACATATATCTCTCTACCTCTTTCTCTATGTTAACATTTGTTTTCGCCCGCTCTTGACCTTTATAAATCATCTTACATCTTTCAACGCGTTAGGTCGATAGAAGAATGAAACAGTCTCTAAATTCATTATTTACTTTTATTGTATAAAGTACTAGAATCTTACCGGATACGAACTGGTACGTGGCTTTGAAACCGATATGCTGACAACATCTGTGTGTAGACTTGCCCGTATTGAATACGACAATGACGGTGTTGGATTCCGACACCAGTAGGGGGCGCTGCTGTTTGCTGAACACCATGGATGGTGATGAGGCGTGTAAACCGTCGTATATCTGCATATAACAGGACATCAACATAAATTATTTTTGTAAAATTGCGAATCGACCGGAACAGTCGGTTGTAGTGCATGGTCTCGTAAAGGAATGGTCAACTTCCTGTTTTCTAGAGGATTTCTTGGTCTAAGAATGACCGACTTCCTGTTTACCAGAGGATTTCTCTGTGAAGGGAAGACCCACATCCTATTAATCTAGGGTTTCAGAGTAGGACCTGTTCGTACTAACCAAATTTTAAACTGAGCCACGACATAGAAGTCATTCCATAAACTCAAAACTCATAAGATCCAATTTCCTTGACCACCCAACGACATTACCGAACCTGACTTAAATAGATTGCCACTGGCACTCAGGCGACCACCAAACAGGCATAGCACCACACATAAAACCAAAAGCACTGTTTTTCATAGGAATTTCAATTCAAATATCATTTGAGTTAGATGTAGGATAAACTTTAAATGGCTGTTTCAGTGCGATAAATGCTGCACTCAAGCCTTTAACACTGACAGGTGTTACCAACAGAATTAATTAAATGGCGGAAAAGACTGCACTACATTTCATATCTGCAGATTGAGGTGCATTTAGTCATGTATCATAACCCTAGTAACAGTTAAACATATTGTCTAATGGTCTCTCCTTTCACAAAAAGTCCAAATATTTAATAAGAAGATGATGGACAGTGATATGCTAGAGTTTTATTTCTCTTTGATTAAGATATATATGATGTTGTATAGAGAAATTACCCTGAAACTCCATACATCACTTGAAACACATAATCGCCGTTAACATACCGCTTCATAACGAAATCAAAGGGAGATATGGGAGGTGGTCCTATCTTGAGGTAGGAACTGTATCTCTGGTATGTCAAAACGCTTGTGATTTCTTACTGATATAAACGGCAGAACTTTACACAGAAATTATAGGATAACTTTGCACTGATATAAAGCTAATAAACACCACAGCCGAATTATGGAGTAATTTTCATATTATAGATAAGACTGTGGAGACAGGTCGAGTTCACACGAAGAACTAGAAGTGGAATTAACTTTAACAGACCAGGAAGCCAATGGTATGTAACAATAATAACAATCTGTGTAGGGTGATTTAAGTTTACCAACAACTGCAATAACGCTGTATGAGGATCAGTTCATGTACTCACTACCAGTTTCGTAACTTCCGAATATCAGTAACACATCATATCTATAATGATATTAAATTGGTACTGAAAGTATAATTCAAAATAGAAAACAGCTTACCAATATAGAAATTAGGAATACCAATATATTAGTCAGTACAACAAAGGAAAAGTGTCCGCACTACCGTGACCGATATTAATGTAATAATGGCGTCATACACAACTTCCGGACCGTAATCAAGTGTCGAGCCTGCTCTCCTTCTCTTTCTCTGAATACTACATGTATCGTCTTAGACTCATCATATCTTATACAATGTCAGGTTCTTGGCACTCAATTCCATTATTCACACAATTTTTGTCCTACCTGTATCTGACTGACGCTTGCAATGTGCCAATCATCAAATGTCAACCGGATATGACCATAGGGGTCAAGGTTGTGGATGGTGTAGGTGAATGTCTCTTCGTTGAGAGCATAGCCATTGGGAAAGTTTGGTGACGTGATGTGTCCCCCATCAACCGGATCTGACGACACGGATGACACAGACCCGGTCCTCATCTCTCGCTTCTCTGTAAAGGATGAAAAACAGCTTACTCAACAGAGAGTGGTAGATTATTCATAAGAAGGGGTTGTTGATGCGTTTGATCTCAAATTAATGAACCAACTTAGCTATATTTTCGATGAGAGAGGTTCATTCCAGTGTTAAGTGTTCAATGGATTGAATAGAAGACACATAAGTAAATCATGTGGTGCGTTTTAATACGAATTTCGAATTCTATACTGAACATTCTATTTGTGATAACGTTGCACTAAACAAATGTTACAATAGGGATGGACTAGACCATTGATTCAATTACTTTCTGAACTTTTCAGTCCTGCCATTATACATAACAAGTTGTTGTTTTTATGTAACGTCAGTTTTTTTTAATATCTTTACAAAATTTAAAATCTTATTCCAATGCCTAAGCAATCCGTTTCAGACACGCCCGGTTACACATTGTCACTCGAGTGGTTGTTGACATGTATTTCTGTGTTACATTAACGAAGCGAACAATCAACACGACATTTAGACTAACATGTGATGTAATCTGAACCACAGAACCTGGGATGATGAAACACGTTTTCAGTGATCGGCCTTCCGTCTGCCAACACACCTCTCAACCTCATCACATCTTGCTCCAACTCCAATTCCAGACAAAATTGAAAGTTAGAGTGATTAAGACACGGCGATATTTATTACTTCAATTAAAGCGATAAGAAAATGAAATGGAATTACTGTACCAGAAATGTTATCACGTGATACAAATATTTATGGACAATGTCAAGTTTTCAAGTGAATTTAATATTAAACGTTTTATGATCTGGCAAGGGAAAGGTGTTAATAAAAGTTTTCATCAAAACAAACGAGTGAGAACCGTTACCAAAATACACCACCAACCCGTCAATACCGAGACGTTATCGATATTTTCAGGCGGTATTAGTCACGACGGAACCAAAACACAATTCAAAATTGGCGCAATTCAACACGCCTTCCAGGTGGGTGTTTGGATTGTTTGTTGATAAAAGATTTCTTCTATCTTTTGATGTCAATCTTTGTAATGAGAAAATAAAATCAGTTTCTGGCCACCACAGAGCAGCGTTTTGTTAATGGCATAAATACCATCTAATGAAGAATTAAGTGGTTCCTGGCTCCTTACTGATTAAATAAGTTTTTAGTTCAAAGGCAATGACGAGTGTAGTGCAGCCTGGTCGGATGTGGACGGGAGGGGGCCCGGAAGGTCAAGAGTAGTTCCGTGTCTGTATAAATCTGTGTCGACATGTATTTTATTACTCAATTAAACAGTCTTAGATAATATTTCACGAGCGCAACCGAAAGTGCCATCTATGTAACAAGCATGTCGTTAATGTCCAACATCAACGACTGACTGGGAAATTAGAAACAAGAACACGGCCACCGAACACACGTCTGACAAATTACACACGACTTCAGTAAGTGATAAGCAATATAACATATATAATTAAACGTTCTTTGATAGATTAGACACATAAAGTGTTCCCTTCAGTTGCCTCGAGTAGAGTGGAAAGTACGTGTCACCCTGACAGAGCAAGATCCCTGGTCCTGTTTCCTGTCACGTGTTGTAAGCATGGTTAACTACGGCTTCTGTGAAATTTGTTATTTGCATGAAGGATGCTAAGGCAAACTAGGAGATTTGAATCAATAGCATAACCAGATGAGACCACAAAGTCACCCTTAAATATCTAAACAGCATGTTAATAGATTAATTGTTTATATAGCTAAAAGGTCAATCTAGGGTCGAGAGATCGACTTCCAGTGCTCCCGAGTCTACCGACGATGACAAACCACAGTGAGATTACTTCAGCCAAAAGTCATTCAAAGGTATATATATATTTGTAGTATCAACGCTGTATTTAGTGCACCATTGTATGGAAGGTGGGTCAAGGTCACACTGAGGATACTCTGGAACGGAATGTGTCGTCTGCTTATGCTGAAACGAATTTAATATGGAAGTTGCTCCGGGACACATCGACTGTAAAATGGAGGAGGGGTCAAGGTCACATAAAAGATACTTTGGAACGGGATGTGTCGTCTGCCTTTATTGTAACAAATTTCATATGAAGGTTGTTCTGTGACCAAGACACTTTGTCATGATCTTTTTTCCCCTTGCTATGTGAATTTTGAACGACATATCACCCTGGGGACGTTTAGGCACATTTCCTATTCAGACAACCTAGAAATGAATATTACCGTACACTTACATTGCTCATAAGGGAACCGTGATCAAGAAGATTGCCTCCAGGTGTCATTGAGATGAGTGTGACACACGAGGAGATTCGGGACATCGTAATATCGCTTCGTTTAATGGGAAGCGATATTGCGATATCACGATACCACGATGCGATATCACGATGCGATATCACGATATCACGATGCGATACCACGATATCGCATCGTGCTATCGTAGTATCGCATCGTGCTATCGTAGTATCGCATCGTTCTATCGTAATATCGCAATCTCGCTTCCCATTAAACGAAGCGATATTACGATGTCTCGAATCAGCCACCATACCATTGGAACCGATGTTCTCAGACTTCAATATTTGGGTTGTTTGGAAACCCCCCTCTCACATTCCCCTTCCCCACTCCCTTTCCCCACCCCCAAGATGCAGAATGCGCGTGAAGGATAATATATACACGTACCAATTACCTGGTATTTGATCCGGAACCTCTTGCCCGTCTCGCCTGTCCCATTAGACATACAATGACGTATCCGGACGTTTGATGATATTGATTCATATGTGGCGTTTGTGTCGTCATTGTGGTAGTTCCGTCGATAGCGGCCGTTATAAGGTTTGTCTATTTCGTGGATTTGTACATGGTCGCAACTGAAACACATAACATTATATCAATGTTTACGTAATGCTGGTTTATATTTTCCCGAGACGTTTAACCATGGTGATGAATTTAACATTAAGAATTACAAATTACCTACATCAGGGACATAACCAGATGTTTAAAGATGGCAGTACGTATACACAAAGTGAAAGGACATTAGTTCTGTAATAAGAAAAATGGAATCACCAAATCACTTGATTATAAAAGTCTCAAAAAATATATTCTGCTTGTAAGGAACCATAGTAAACTTACCCAGGCAGACACAAGTTTCGGTGTCTTGTCTTCCTGTGCGCAGGACACTCTGGAAAATGAACGTCCACGAGTTGGAGGCGCAGCCTACATGTAGAACACGCCCTAATGTCCACGTTACATGCGTGACCATGGTAATGATTGACAGTGTAATTTTCTGGGTATTCTAATGATGTGATGTACCCGAAGTCGCCTTTCTCCACGGCTATCTTCACACTGTCATGAGCCTTCATACACGATGTCGTCCCTTTACAAACAAAATGTAAAATCGTACTTTAGTAATGATACCACTGTTATAACCTGAAGGACACTTTATCAAGACCGTGCAGAAATACTCGAAAGTATTCACGTGTTAGAAAGCCCAATAAGGAATCATTGTCACGAGTTATTGTGGTGAAAGTGAAACAAACAACAAATATTGTGGCTGTCATGAGTCTTGATACACGATATCGCCCATTCGCGAAAAAAATATAACGAGTTATTTTGGCGAACAAACAAACAAAAAAATCTATTCTAACACAATTTGTCTCATTGTAACGTACCTCTGTCTATCCCGGTGACTAATGCAGATACGGTTTCAGTCTTCCATAAAAATATTGCCATCAGACCTGTCAACACAAAATGAAGACATTTGAAATGTATTATCGTACAAGCATCAAGGAAAATACAAACATTTAGACAGTCGTATCTAATCACGTTGTGTTTTACTTCCGTCAGAAAGGACGAAGGAAACACTCCAGCACGTTGACATATCGGATAGTTCAAAAGTCTGAAAACTTATAGTCACCAAATTGATTCCGTTCTGCTAATGACATTGCAATTTTGTTTTTGTTTATATTTCTTATGTGACGGTGATGGTGATGTAGCTTGGGACACCAGCAGATGGGAGGTCCTACCGTCCTTCCATCACCAATTACTACACAGAAACAGTTTTATTGATGTCGTTTGACAAGAGATCAATCCTACCCAAGATAGATTACGATCTCCAACTAATAGCAAAACCTAGTCCTGACCTTCCTGGCCATTTCGTTTATTTAGATAAGACCTGAGCTAGGATATCTTCTGCCTTATCTGGCCTTTTATCACCAAGATAAAAACCCACTAAATCACAACTAAGTACCGAACGAAAGAAATCGCAGTGCGACTGATCGCTAATTATTGATAGCACATCGATCTTGGTTACTAAGCAGCCATGATTAACTCCATGGCTGGTTATCGGTTAATACATTGGAAGAAAGGATGTAAGTTTTATATAGCTATAAGAAGTTTCAGTTCTTCAGATTTAAGTTCAGTTTGAATTTTGATTGCTGAACACTTGCATGATGTACAGCAGCGCGGAGGAGACGATGCGCATCTCGCCGCGCTGGGTACACAGTCGTAAGCAAACATATCTGTCATTAACCCGGTATTCAAATGCACAACAAGCACAATTATTCTGTCGTAACTTTTTTCCGTCTCGGAAAAGGAAATCTTTGATTAGAGAGGAAAGAATTTCTCGGAACAATAGTGTAGCTGCACTTTTACGGATATCTATAACGTTTAAAACCCCGGGGGTTATAATCACACCACCTACTTCCGGAAAGTGGCTTCGTTTACAGCCAATAGTTTATCTTCTAATAAACATTACTGTGGCTGAATATAGAAAGAAGTAGTTGTAATTTTGATTCGATATTTAGTTCAAAGCCATACATGTAATTTCCTTATCTTAACTACAATTTTACAGCCAAATTCTATATGCGACGTGCTCGACAAGACGCCCACTTTTTTGAAAGTTAGAATTCCTCACGAGATATGTAGACGGTATCGAAAATGATTCCAAAGATTCGTGACTTTTTGAAAACTACTAACTTGCTACATGTTTTGATATCAGTAAATACGTCAATAAAAAACCTATAATTTTGTGATTATTTCAACTCCTTCTTCAGCATGAAATAAGAAACGCTGTATTTTCATGATACAGAACTCGGGTAATGGTGTAATATGTCATTGCATCTTCTGAAAAGTGTTTTTTTTTTATTAATCTATCTCATCTCTAACCCCCACAAGAATTAGCGCTGTTTAACGGCACCAACCTTTATAATTCATGGTATACTTCTATAAATATATAAGACCTCTGACCTCCAAGCCAGTCTGACAATTTGTATGAACAGAGTGCAAGTTACACCGGTCCATGGACGGATAGAGATATCACTAGCATGCTCCCTAACACCTATCTTGGGGTAAATTGAGGAGAGGGCAGATATCGCCACAAAACCATCATCACCGGTAGTGAGGGTTGTTATCGGAGGCCCCATCTCCTCGTTACCCGCCTGTTAGGAACATCCCAGGACAGCCTAGTGTTACGGACTGTTCGACACACTACAAGAACCACTACTGACAGTTTTATAGGCATATGTCAACCAAAATTTCTATACATTATAACTGATCAAATCGCATCTGAAGTAAACTCGGAGATATGTAAATAACATATAAATTAGTTTTTATACATTTTCAAATGTGGAACGATAAACCATATAACTAAATGGGAAGGTGCGTGAGATAAGTGAGAGCTTTATACCTACTTATCTACGAGATATACATCCTCTGCATTAACGTGGTATTGAGATGGTAATATCTCCCCACTGATACCCCGTAAACAAACATGTCTGACACCAGCTACAGATGTACCGATAGACGGTGACGTCACGAGCATGTCACGTCACGGCTGATGGTTGAGGATTGCGAACGTCCAACAGTTATTACTAACATTCGGTATATATCGTTAATTATGCATATCTTGCACAAAAGACGGACGCGAAATCATTCTGGATCACGTTACTATATATAAATCTCTGTAGTATTGCATTGGAATGTTATCTCCATCAGCCTGATCCCGTTCTCATGTTCTCTAGTTTCAAAATAAAACAAATCTAACACCAACACTCAACGGCATGAAGTCTGAGAGTCTTATATTACTGTGGAGCTAAGGACACCATCACACTATCGGAACGTTACAAGAGAACGACGTATTCATCAAGCATGGGGCACCATAAGCAATGCTACTGTGTTGGTAATAAGAAAACCCTTAGGAATCTCATCAAGCATTGGTTATACAGTATATTGATATTAACCGAATAGACAAGCTCATTATTTGAACATTGATATTAACCGGTTAGACAAGTTCATTACATCCACACTGATATTAACCGATTACACTATAATTGGTAAGTGTCTCCAAGCCGTACGTGCTTAAAAATTACATACAGAACGCGAGTAAAGTATGTAAGGTAACGGCAAGGTAATTGATGCGAGCGTTTAAAATGCTTGCAGCGTCTTTCTGAATCTTAGAAGGTTAATGACGACATGTAAAAACCAGACAGTTACCTACTTACGGTCGAGAGGTTTATTAACAAAGATATAGTAAAGACGTGGCTAGACAGGGCAGCAATGGGATTTAATTACACAAACCTGCTCCCCGTGGTATGTCCTTACAGTGCAACCCGCAACAACCAAGATAATCCCATCGTGGGTCAGAAGATGCACAGGGCTTTGTAGGGGTAAGGGTAGGACATAAGATTACCGACCGTTTCAAACCATCGAAGTCTACAAAGCTTTAACATAATTAAGCAACTTAGTGAAATAAAACAAAGCAACGCACCGACGTTTCAAATGATTTAAAATAGCTATTTCTCTGAAATGTTCAAACATTTTTTTTCAATTCAATATATTTGTCTTATAAAAAAAACGCTGACTGATTATTTGGTCGTTGGTCTGTATCTGAATCCAACCCCCCACCCCTCCCCACTTCCCTATCGTCATCATCCTTTTTCACTTTTTCACCTCTTTCCCCAGTCTGCAATAGACGACGGAGAGTTAGACAAAATTGTTTTCACACGAAACAAATGTAACGAGCGAGTTGGCAAGGACATTTTCGTAATCAATTGTTCCTGTAGGCGGTCTATATATTTTATTATGATAGGTCTACTGTATGTTTAAGGGCTATTGGGTGTTCATTTATAGCTGTGTATCGCCAACGATAGACGTCGATATTTCTGTGGAAAACTGGGGAGGACAGGGGAGGGGGGAGGAGGGCTTCCCCACGTGGATCCTTCGACTGTTTCACTGAAGGTTGATATTCTGCTGATGTAACAAAGATAACCTCGCTCTATGAGTTTAATGCATTTTGTGGCCGTTATACAAATAAATATTTCACAACGCATCTGGTAATGCATCCATCACGACCGTATCAGATACGTGAATTCGTTCACGAAATCACCACGTCTCGTAGCACCATAGGCATGACGATTGTGTAAAGTCGAATCTCAGACAATAACTCCTTCCTACAGAAACTGTCGTATCACTTTCGTGTATATAATGTAACTGGATCGTCTCGTGCCATCTATTTGATTATCAAGTTTCGTTTTACTGACGTCACTTCCTGTCAGTCACATCGTTCTCGAGGTCATTTTCACAAGTATTAGGGAAACTAAAAACAAGATGGATTTCGTTAAAATCAAAGTTTTCAGATTACACAGTCTTCATTGTGTGGATGTATTAGTTTTAGTAAAGAATACATAAGACTGCTCTTGAAGTATTTCATTTCATGGGCTTAAATATATCAAAGTCCCCGGATGTTTAATACGTGCGAGAAAATGCCTCTTCACTTGTAAAACTTCGCTGCAATGCTAAATATTTCCTTAAACAATGTGAATGCCATCGTCAAATTTAGTTCAACATTCTTTGTTCTTTGTCTAAATAGAACACATACTCGTCCTAAATTCAAGGCCGAAAGAAAAAAACTCGTAGCATCGTATCGAAGCATCAAACGCCATGTTTTTTTATTTACCGTTATGATAGTGTGATTTTGGTTTATGCGGTGGTAAATGTGCTCTCTATTCGCCGTAAACGTGTAAATGTTGACGTTTATTTGAGTGAGCTTTAATGTCGGGACAAGTGGCTTTCGTTCCGAGATTATGACACGCGCCAAACAGACGAGAATTGCACGCGCTCGACAGTAGATTTAGACCCCGAGATAATACACGTCAGTAATGCACGTTGTTAATGAGTTATCTTCTCAATCTTGTAAATAACTTAGTTTTATTGACCTGCAGTTAACTTCACATTTAACTGTGTCTACAATTCACAAATCAGGTGTTATCATGCGAAACTAGAACAAACCTTTAATTGCTAGAATTGAATAATGATTTAACTTCACATTAAGTGTGTCTACAATTCACAAATCAGGTGTCATCATGCGAAATTAGAACAAACCTTTAATTGCTAGAATTGAATAATGGTTTAACTTCATAATTAACTGTGGTTACAATTCACAAATGAGGTGTTATCATGCGAAACTGAAGAAAACCTATTGTACATCGTTAAATTGCTATAATTGAAGAATGATTTTCATAAATCACTTTATTTTTTATTGCTAAATATGGATAAAATATCTTACATACAAATAACACATCAACAGTATCAGGAACCAATGAACACATGTCACAGTGACTAGGTGTGGAATGTGGAACAGGAAATGTTATTTTCTTTTCGTTGTTTGTTTGTTTTTCTAATATCTAAAATAAATCATATTTCCTTCTGTTGCTGTTTGGTATGAGCGGAACTTCGGGTCAGTAACGAACTACTTACCAGCAGCCGTTTTAGTTCAGTGACGTATCGTTTTGGACGCTGTCCTAGCCAATATAGCAAATTGGCAAAGAACTATTTGATATGGCAATGCTTTAACAGCTACAGCGGAAACAAGTATAAAAAGATGGACGAGTATGCTTCACCAACAATGGTTACGCTATAGATTTTGATAGTTTTCCTTTATATTTACATATTGACGAACGCCATGACATCACACTTTCTTACGTTAGGTGGCGCTGTATTCATTTGATTTGTAGGTGCCTTACTTATAAAGTTGGATAGATTCGTGAAACCATGTCGACTTCATAAGAGAGCAAACATTCAAAAATGCTGATCCTATTAGGAAAGGTATCATAAATATATGTATTTACATGCATTTTATATATTATGTTTGGTGTATTTTGTGATTATTACAGAGATATAAGGGTCAATATCATGACGATATCCATTGTATTACCACTGTAGTGGCTATGGTATTTGACTCGAGCTCTATCAAAAGTCTATGTGCTATGTTATAACTGTGTCCAGATACTTAAGGCTGTACTTTACGAAATGAAACTGTTCATCCGAGTAATTAATACTACACGACCTGTATCCCCTGTAATAGATATAATGTCAATCAGCTTCATTTGCAATTTTCAAGCATAATTGATGTGTCTCGTTTTTTTCACTAGAACAATATACAGAGTAATAGTCACGTGACCACGCTAACCCCATCCCCCCCCCCTCTTTTAAAAACAAAACAAGAAAACGGGTTACATGTTACTATTAAAAGACTGTGATTTATGTCACCGTTTCCAACATTTCAAGATATACGAACAGGAGTCTGAGTTTCCTTGACATGTAACAATAAAACCATCTCGACTGTTGTTGGATTAAGAGATCGCCTTATTTGTAGTAGGCACAGTGTTTATCTACATCTATCTACCATCCGATACGAGGGTACCTTTGGTGTTGGTTTGTCGGTATATTGGATAGGGTGATGATCTGCCTTCCTTACTTACAATAATAAACATCTTAGGAATTCGATACTAGAGTTGATATAAACAGATAATATTTCTGTATAAGCGATAGTAACAGCGCTCTATCCTGTAACACTAGTACTATCCTACCTTCTTTGAACCTGTGTTGAATATACTACAAACGGCATCAAGAAGGCATATCAAGGCATACAAGGGATAGCACATAATCCATGGACAAGGGGTAACATATAATCCATGGACAAGGGGTAACACATAATCCATGGACAAGGGGTAACATATAATCCATGGACAATGTGTAACACATAATCAATGGACAAGGGGTAACACATAATTCATGGACAAGGTGTAACACATAATTCATGGACAAGGTGTAACACACATACCATAAACAAGGTGTAACACATAATTCATGGACAAGGTGTAACACACATACCATAAACAAGGTGTAACACATAATCCATGGACAAGGGATAGCACATAATCCATGGACAAGGGGTAACATATAATCCATGGACAATGTGTAACACATAATCAATGGACAAGGGGTAACACATAATTCATGGACAAGGTGTAACACATAATTCATGGACAAGGTGTAACACACATACCATAAACAAGGTGTAACACATAATTCATGGACAAGGTGTAACACATAATCCATGGACAAGGGGTAACATATAATCCATGGACAAGGGGTAACACATAATCCATGGACAAGGGGTAACATATAATCCATGGACAATGTGTAACACATAATCAATGGACAAGGGGTAACACATAATTCATGGACAAGGTGTAACACATAATTCATGGACAAGGTGTAACACACATACCATAAACAAGGTGTAACACATAATCCATGGACAAGGGATAGCACATAATCCATGGACAAGGGGTAAATATAATCCATGGACAATGTGTAACACATAATCAATGGACAAGGGGTAACACATAATTCATGGACAAGGTGTAACACATAATTCATGGACAAGGTGTAACA